CCAGCTGGGGCTATAGGGAAACCCTGTCTCAAAAAGATATATCTCTATCATCTATCTATCATCTATCTATCTATCTATCTATCTATCTATCTATCTATCTATCTATCTATCATCTATCTATCTATCTATATCCTTACACCTGTCGTGCTGTTACTGTCACACTCTCCTCCTGATGCCTTTCTAGAGAGAGGGTGAGCTAGAGATATGGTTCTGAGGAAGGAAGGAGAGCAAAAAGTAATTGAGTACTTAGGGTGGACAAGCCTGGGACTAGAACCAGGCTTTCCCTAGCCAAGCCTGGGAATAGAACCAGGCTGAAGCCCAGAGGGAAGGTGGGAACAGGCACAAGAGTCTCCAGGGGGCTAGAAAGGGTCAGAAAAAACCGCTGTAAGAACACTCTAGACCCATGGTAGCTTCTTTGCCCAGCTAAGAAGGACCCAGATAGGCTGGGTATAGGTATAACATCTGTTAGGAGAGGAACAGAGAGCCCCTCCATCTGTCACAGGAAGGAGATTTGAAGAAGGGGTCCCAGAGGGCTAGGCTTAAGCACTGGTGTGGGCAGGAATGGAAGATCAGGGAAAGGTTGGAGGAGCAGTGTCTAGTAGATTCACAAAACGGGTCCTGGAAGTTCCCACTATTTAGATGCTACCTTCCCTAAGGTTCAGAAGCATTTGGAATGGATGGAAAGAAGGGCCCTACAGCAAGCCAGGAGCCTGGCCCAGGAGATTTATTTTTATTTTTTATGTGTATGAGGGTTTTGATTGCATGTATGTAAGTGCACCACGTGCATGCAATGTCCATGGAGGCCAGAAGAAGGTATTAGATACCCTAGAACTGGAGTTACCACTGTATGGGTGTTGGAAACTGAACCAGTATCCTCTGTAAGAGCCACCAGTGCTCTTAAGCAATCTCCCCCAATCCCCTGCTCCCAGTCCAGGAGAAGGCAGCAGTTTAAGTGTTCAGCCTCTGCTGTGCAAAGTTTGACTTTCTTTTCCCCCTACTTTCTACATTCATCTGTCATGGTTTTGAGAGCAGATGTCCAGGACTTGGGGATATAAAGTGGCTCTTGTGGATCTTTCCCTCCCTTCTTGGGTCGTTGGCCACAGATCTGCGAGAACAAAGGGAGCAGAAGTGAAGAAAGGGGTCAGGACAGCCAATGAGCACGGCCAGTGAGCACAACGGAAAAGACCTTCCGGGGAGTCAGATTCAGTGATACAGCTCCATTTATTCAGTGGGGGTTAGGGAAAATATAGTGTGGAGGCAGTAGCCAAAGCTTCAGCTGATAGGTGCTCATAGTATGCTTTATTTGCATGTGGTAGGGGGATCCTATCATCCGACTATAGGGCAATGCCTAATTATCATATAGAAAAAACCTGGGGCAGTTTTATTGCAGGTAACTATGCCAAATGTCATATTCCAAATAAGGTCAGGCATCCCTACGTGGTGGCACTTTCCAGGTAAGTCAGGCAGAGAACAGGAGGCCCCCCGCTGAGAAAGGGAGTCCTTCCATATGCGGAGCCCCTTAGAGCTATCCAGACATTGTGGACTGCAACCTTAGCAGCAGGGTCCCCCAACAGGCCCTCAGATAGGGAAACAGAGACACAAATGATCATATTCCAGGATGACTTAAAGTCCTATTATTCTTATAACCTCCAAAAAATGAGCAAACATGTATTAAGCACTTGGGCATTGTTCTAAAATACATTATCCATGCTTTAGGGTCCTCAAACGTCCCCATGTGGTAGATGCTATTATTACTCTTACTTTACAAATGAAGCTAAGAGAGGTTGGGTAATTTGCCATTAGTCAGGCAGCTTATAAGTGAGCAGGAAAGCCAGGACTCCATGCAGGTCACCTGGCTTTAAAGCTTGCACCCAATCCTCTGCTAAACTGCCTCCCAAACTGCAAGGCCAATGTGAATACCCACAATGTGACCAAAGGTGACCTGGAGCAATAAGATTGTACTCCAAGAAATGAAACACACACACACACACACACACACACACACACACACACACTCCTACGCTTGTGCAAACACATATTCTCCATTCCATATCATGCCTAAGTGTTCCTGCACGCACACAATGCTCTCCCTTTCTCCTTCCCTCCTCACCCCCTTCCCTTCCTCCCTTTCTCCTGTCCTCTCTCATTCTCCTGGCTAGGAGCACACATAGATTATTTGCGTGGAGGGAATGGGGACCAGACCTCTATCCTTTTCTGCCTTTTGACTTGAATGAGCAGGATTTAAGTTTCTCTGGCCTTTCCTAGTTCCCACTGGCCCCTAAATCATCTTCCCTTCAGGCTCCTCTACCCTCTGAGCTTCTTCCCTTAGCCCCCTTCCTGGCCTTTGACTGCAGCCTGTAGTAGCAGCTGACTCCACTTAGATGCTGGCAGTCCCTGTCCCAGATCAAAGGCAGGGCGGCTAATTGTGCGTCTTAACAAGCGCCCCCCCTTCTGCTCCGGGCAGCCCAGCTGGCCATGGCCCCACCCCATTCCCCCTCCAGCTGGCCAGATGGCACAGTGCCACACTGTGTCTGCCCCAGACAGTTAGGGCCAAGACCGAAACTGGGGCCCTGAATGAGAGCTGGGACAGACCCAGTGGGCAGGACTTCTCTGAGCATGGATGTTTAGAGCAGACAGTGGCCACACAGGCTCTGGTCACCTCTATATGTGGCTGTGACAGGTTTCAGAGGCCATGGGGTAGTGTAGGGGAAGGCATCTTGATTGCATGGAGTATGGAGTTCTCTAACACTGTGAGTCACATTTCTTCAGATTCTTTCAGGCCTGTCTCAAACATGACAGAACCTTGAAGATGTGGTCACCCTTGTACACCCTCCTGGAACAGCCTCTTTCTCTTGCTAGTTATGGAAAGGGCCATGGGAACTGGAAATTGGGATACCTGGGTTTCTTTCTTAGCATCAAACTTACTTGAAGTCCATTTCTTTCAGCAGAAAATTGCTGGCCCTGGAAGCTGGGAGAGCTAGATAGAGGTCAATCTCAATAACCCCTGTGACCTTGAGATCCCTAAGTTTACATTGTGTGTGTGTGCGCATGATGGGGTGATTTCTGGGGTCTGGGTTGCCTCTGGAGGTCTCAGTATTGTCAAGTGTTCTAAAGCAGGCAGGCTGATGACTCTCTCAGCAATAAGACAAGCACTCAGAGCTCTAAAGATAAAAGGCAAGGGATAAATGCAGGCTGCATGTCCCAGAGTCTTGGGTCTACCCTTAGGCTCCACCAGCTCATAACAGTTTCTGCTGCCCTGCAGCTCCTGCCAAGTCCCAGCATCCCCTTTGAAGGCTGCAGCCCAATCCTAGCCCCTCGTGTCTGCTCCAAGCTGGGCTCCTCAGGAAAAAAGTTATCAGGATGCCATGAGCTGGAAAGAGAAGATAGAGAGGGAGAATCTGCTTCGTAGGTTTCCACTAATCCAAATGATTTGTTTTAGACATGGGTCATGAGCTGCTGAGCTCTGTCTTTGATCAGGGTGAAAAACCAACAACAATGTTCTAAAAATGCAGCAGGATTGAATGAGCTCAGGCAGCAAAAAGGACTTCTCAATTCTAGCTATGTTTATGTAGTACTTACCAGGAGTAAGGCACTATTCCAAGCACTTTAAATTTAATAACTCATTCAATTCTTGGAACAATAGTGAGGCAGGCAATGATAACACCTGTTTGCAGATGAGGAAACTGAGGCATAAGGAGGTTAAGTCTCTTGGCCAAGATCACAGTTATTAACAACCAGTCAGTAGAAGAGACAAAATTTGAAACCATGGCAGTCTGACTCTAGAAATCAGATTTTAGCTACTAAAGAGCTTGTGGTATTATAATTTGTCTGGGCAAGAAGAGGACATGACTCTGTTATCTGGCAGAAGAGGCTTGAAGCAGGAATGGGCTAGGGGTTCTGTTCTGGATGGTTCTCTAGACCCTGTGAAGCCTCTGAGAACATGTCCCGTTAGTCTCTGAAGCTGAAGTGGAAGGATCCAGAGGTTTCCTCAGAATCTGGTGTTCTTCAAGTTCATCAGCTTCCTGTCAGGTTCTGGGCTTCTCCCACTGGGGCCCATGGTACAGTGGAGTCTCCTTCTGTGGAGGCTGAGCTTTACTCCTGGCTACTCCCTCTACTTGCCCTCTTGGGAATCCAGAGACTAGTCAGAGACTTGTACCACAAGCTGCTCTAGCTAGTCCTTCCTCAGTTGGACAATAAGCAAGAAGTAGTCTCAAGGTCTAAGAGCTGGACCCACCTCTACAAGTAGGCTTCCCCTAGTACAGGTCCAGGGTACTTCCAGGAGATAGCTCAGGCTGCAGCACCCAGAAGGAAAGCGGTATAAAGAAGCACTGGGCCAGGCTGGTCCATCCTTGAGTCTTGAGAGTGGCTCAGTCAGAGAGTCTTTTTGCCTTCTGAGTCTCTAGTAGAAAGCAAAAGCTGTCACCCCACTCAGCTTGCAACCCTGCTATATGTCAGATCCCAGTTAGGGCACTGGGTTCACTTGTATCACCCTTCAATGTTTCCAATCAATCAAAACAAAACAGAGGCAGGGTGGCTGGGGTCTTGGGGGATGACCATTTCTGAGTGACTTTCAGTCATGTCCTGGGAACAAGAATGAAGAATGGGAACCATTGGGGAGGGTTCCTAAAGTGAGCACACAGTAGCAGGCCATCCAGGGATAGGGCACACTAGGAGCAGATGATCTGGTCTTACCCTCCTGCCCACTGACATCTCCTGGGGTCTGAAATTCCATCACTGGTAATTTATTTTGGGGGTTAAACTTTGCCTTCTTTCTCCAGGCTATTTTAAAATTGCAGATATCACTATGAGAGATAATAGATTAAGTCTTTGGTCTGAAAAAGAATGTGTTTACCAGGTACTTTCTGCCCTAGAGGAGAGATCTAGACACACAAATTCCAAGCTTGCTAAGGGGGTGCTAATGAAAAGAGAAGGGAAGTAAAAAGAAGAGCACATTAGAGGCACCCCACCCCCTGTCCTATGTTCAGAAGGCCAGACTTTTAGCTCGCTCTCCCCCCTTCCTCCTCCTCCTCCTCCTCCTCCTCCTCCTCCTCTCTCTCTCACTCTCTCTCTCTCTCTCTCTCTCTCTCTCTCTCTCTCTCTCTCTCGGTAGTACTGGAGACTGGCACTCAAAGGATGCTGGGTAAGCCATCTACCATTTAACTCTATCCACAGACTGGGCCTTAGTGTCTCCTCGATGTGATGACATGATTGGGCAGGATGTGGCGGCTTCTCCAGAGTCCATGTTTTCCTGGTCTCTCACCGTAGGTTTTCGAGAGAGTGCTTTTGCCTATGCCATCGCTGCTGCAGGAGTACTGGAGACTGGCACTCAAAGGATGCTGGGTAAGCCATCTACCATTTAACTCTATCCACAGACTGGGCCTTAGTGTCTCCTCGATGTGATGACATGATTGGGCAGGATGTGGCGGCTTCTCCAGAGTCCATGTTTTCCTGGTCTCTCACCGTAGGTTTTCGAGAGAGTGCTTTTGCCTATGCCATCGCTGCTGCAGGGGTGGTGCACGCAGTGTCCAACGCGTGCGCCCTGGGTAAACTGCAGGCCTGCGGTTGCGACGCCTCCAGGCGTGGGGACGAAGAGGCCTTCCGTCGGAAGCTGCACCGCCTGCAAGTAGACGCCCTGCAACGCGGGAAGGGCCTGAGCCACGGGGTCCCGGAACACCCTGCCCTGCCCCCTGCCAGTCCAGGCCTGCAGGACTCCTGGGAATGGGGCGGCTGCAGTCCTGACGTGGGCTTCGGAGAACGCTTCTCTAAGGACTTTCTGGACTCCCGGGAGCCTCACAGAGACATCCACGCTCGCATGAGACTCCACAATAACCGAGTGGGCCGACAGGTGAGAGTCAGGCCCTGCGGCCTCCACATCCCTCCTGGAAGCTCCCCCTCCGGGAACCACACTGCTTCCCCAGCGCATCAATCTTCTCATTGTCCCCTCCTAATTCAGGCAATAAGATCTTGGGGACCTACTATTGTGTGCCAAGCACACTGGGTCTGAGAATAGAGGGTTGAGAATAGTGTGTACTTATGGGCACACTCCGCTGCTGAGCAGCCTGCTCCTCCCACTTTCTCTGATGACCAACAGAGACAGGAGTAGACTGGCAGTTAGGACCTGGGTTGCCACAATGTCTCTGCCCCTGTAGAGGCACTAAATTGAGCTAGATCATCTATCCTGCACCCTAGCTCTATTGTTTCCTGGTTCTAGGAGTCTGTGATTCCACTCTTAAGCTTTCTGTGCAGTCTTCCAGGAAAGATTCCTGCTTTCCTTCTTTCACCTCTGTTCTAGAATGTTCATACTATCTTAAGGTTAGTTCATTCATGCAAAATAAACAACACATACATAATATAATATCTATCATCTATCTCATAGAAGGAAGGAAAGGACTAATAAAGTGCATTTATCAAGCCTTACTATGTGTTAGATGTTTGTCCTGAGCAATCAGCCTTCTTAACACTTACCTATGATGTGAACATTCTTATTAACCTTGCACTCAGATATACAAACCAAGGCACAGATTGACTAAGAAGCTTGCCTGAACTGGGAAAGTGGTAGAGGCAGGCTCCATCCCCAGGCAGTAGAGTTCATATCTCAGCACTTTCTTTTCTTGGCAACTCCATCCTCATTCCTCCTCTTGACTCTGCTTAGCCTGCTCAGGGCCTGTTCCTGGCTTCCTCTCCCTATACTGCCCTTTTCTTTGGCCTTTTAGCCTACCCCAGTACATCTTCTTCCTTCACAGCTGATTCAGAAACTTTTATCTTGACTTAGAGTGAAGGTAAGCAGAGGCATGCCCATCCTTAGGTTCCATCCAGCTCCCACCCAGCCCTCCCCTGTATACGGGCCTCCTTTCTCAAGCTTCAATACCATCCCAGCCTGGACCAACAGTGCCTCCTCCTTGTCCTCGTTAAACTGGTTAATTAATGGCTACGGTCTGTGGGAAGCAGATGTTCTGGAGCTGTTGGCCCAGGGAGGCAAGGGGAGGAGGGCACAGGCACAGACAAGGGATGGTTTCCCATTTGGTGCTAACACCACAGGCTGTACATGCAGGCTGTGCAGCCTTCCAAGACCCAGAGCAGTGGGCTCCTTCTCTTATGTCTCTCTAGTCCAATTTGGGTTTTGTGGGCTTTTGTTTTTGTTAGTGTTTTTTCTTGCTATGTTCTGGCTGGCCTGGAACTCACTATCTAGACCAGGCTAGCCTCAGAACTCACAGAGATCTGACTGCCTCCGCGCCCTACCCACTTCTTCAATTTTTGGCGCCCCAGATCCTTGCTTCCCCTGAGACTATTTGGGGAATGGAATGGGGAAAAGGAAGATGCGGTCAACTTCCAGCAGGGTATAGGGTGAGGGTAACACTACCTGGTTCTTTGAGAGGAGACTATAGAACAGGGAAGGTAGGCTGTGCCCCCATATTCAACTCCCTTGGAGATTTGGGAACCCCTTCATTTTCATAGGGCTGGTACCCTGGCTCTTTGGGTTCTGTTCCTATTCAGGGAATGCTTTGGCACCTGTTGCCACTCAGTATAAACAGATAAGCTCTAGGCAGCATAATGGGAGGTGGATGTCTTTAGTTCCTGTCCCCTCCTCCCACTGGCTCCCTATAAAGTGCTGCAGGACACAGGTAGGGGTGGTGGTGGAGGAATGGGGGGGGGGGCTTCTCAGACTTTTTGCAAGGCCTATTCACAGCCTGGAGGGAGGCCAGAGGCACTGGGGTTGGGTTGTAGTGAAGCAGGTGCCCCCAGCCCCCCACTGCCAGAGATAGGAGAGGGGATTTCCCTGAAGATTTGAAATCCCCAGGGCTCAGGAAGCAAGAACCCCCCAGCCCCAAGGGCCCCCTTGCAGCTGCTAGAAAGGCTGGCAAGAAAGGAAGGAAGGAATTCCCCCAGGGCCTAGCCTGGTGGGAGGTGGGTGAGAGTGCTGCAGAAGAGCCCAAAGGAGTTCTGCTTGCCAGGCTCAGGATCTATGAGGCCCTAGATTCGGACCTCGGTGTTTGCTTCTGTACAATGGGAATTGGCTTCCAGTCTCAGCGACAGGAGGCGGGCTGGGGTATGGGAAGCCAGCCTCATCCCTTTTCGTGCCTCCCTCCGCAGGCGGTGATGGAGAACATGCGGCGAAAGTGCAAGTGCCATGGCACGTCAGGTAGCTGCCAGCTCAAGACGTGCTGGCAGGTGACGCCTGAATTCCGCGCGGTGGGGGCGCTGCTGCGCAACCGCTTCCACCGCGCCACGCTCATCCGGCCGCACAACCGCAACGGAGGCCAGCTGGAGCCCGGCCCTGCGGGGGTACCCTCGCCAGCCCCGGGCACTCCCGTGCCGCGCCGCCGGGCCAACCCCTCCGACTTGGTATACTTCGAGAAATCTCCCGACTTCTGCGAGCGCGAGCCGCGCCTGGACTCGGCGGGCACTGTGGGCCGCCTTTGCAACAAGAGCAGCGCGGGCCCGGATGGCTGCGGCAGCATGTGCTGCGGCCGGGGCCACAACATCCTGCGCCAGACACGAAGCGAGCGCTGCCACTGCCGCTTCCACTGGTGCTGCTTCGTGGTCTGCGAAGAATGCCGCATCACCGAGTGGGTCAGCGTCTGCAAGTGAGAGAAGCCCAGGCTCCCCTGGGTCTCAAGAAAGGTTCTACTGGAGCCTGGCCTCTGCTGCTAGTGATCTGGGCCTGTCAGCATCCTCCTTGGCTCCTAGGAGAGGAGGTTGGACCTCTCAGCTCTGAGGGTCTGCAATCACCAGACAGTCCAGACCTGTCTGACTTCTCACTTCTGTGGGTTCCCCTCTTCCTGTTCCAAGCTCAGACAGCCCCGGGTGGGGTGCTGGAGACAGCCCCACACCCTGGAACATGTCAGACAGCCCAGCCCTGCAGGCCTGAGTCCTGTCATCCTTTTTCCCTTTCCCCAAGAGTGGTAGGCAGTGCACAGAAACTGATGGGCACTGTGGAAGGAGATTAAAATGAAGAACTGGGCATAATCAAGATGAAGTGAATCTTCAAAAGCCCCAGATGCCCTCCATCCTCCACCATCTTCTGCCTCTATCATTCACATAATGGATAGGATATTTATTTTGCACTCTCTCTGTGGCACTCTTTGAGGGGTGGAGAGAAGCCCTCTTGGAGTTTACATGCTTTCTGAGAGAGATGGACAATAAACCAGTAAACATACAATCAAGGTTATTTCAGACAATGCGATGGGCTATGAGGAAAATAAAGCAGGGCACTGGATATACACTGATTTGTGGGGAATGGGGCCCTTTCTGCTAAAACCACGGGCCAGGGAAAGCCTCTGAATTGTAAGACACATGTTGAGACCTGCAAGGTGAGAAAGAACCCTACGGGAGACTGAGGGGAAGGGCTTTCCAGTTAGGCCACAGGAACCAAAAGCTCTGAGGGGAGAAAGACCTCCCCCTGTTGGAGAAACAGCAGAGAGGCCCCTGCAAATGGAGATAAGAAATCAAGGGCTTATGGCAGGAGAGATCAGAGTTCATGGGCAGTGGTCACATTGGCCACATTGTGTGTCTTTCTCAGGAGCTAGGATATTATTTAAGAGGAATCCTCAGTGAATCTTAAGCAGATGCCACATATTTGGGCATTTGGCTGAAATGGAGACAAGATGATAGCAAGATGTGGGGACTAATGCAGAGATGAGACCAGGATTGGATGACAGCAGTAGAGGTGTCTAGAAGGGGCAGGATCCAGAGATTCATAGCCCTCAGTGCCAGGACGCCAACCGCCCACTTTGTTCCTGAGCCTCTGCCACAAGCCAGGACGAGTGGCTGTGCCCAGCAGCAACCGTCGGCAGAGACAGGAGGCACTCTGAGAGGAGTAATCCTGGGCAAGACCCAGCTCAACCCAGCCCAGCGCCCCGGGGAGCAGGTGGGGCCAGGGGGTGCGGCTGGGTAGAGGATGGTGGGGGAGGGTGGCAGACTCACTGTCTGGAACAGGTCTCTGGAGTCCAGGCAGGAAGGCTGGGGGTGGGAGCCTTCTAGAGCTTCTTGTGCCCCCTTCCCCCAACCCCAGCTCAAACTGCCCCTTAGCAGATCAATAATCTTTCCTGCCCTCATGTTCCCACCAGAAGACTGCTGAGCTGGAAATGTGAGTCCAGGCTTGCATTCACCTTGGCTCCAGTCTAAAGACTTTTTGGAACCAACCCTTGGGATCTCAGGGAGAGCATACTTAACCTACTTCATCCAGGCTTACTGCTCATAGTTAGTGACCCTGCTGGATGCCTCAGCTTATCCCCTAATGGCACCCTTCTTGATAAGCCAATCATAGACAAAATCTAGCTCCGTTTTACAATGGCCGGCTTGCACAAATTCTCTGTATTTTCTCTCCCTATCAGGCTGAGGGGTGAGACGGAAAGGAGACTCTGGGAATGATGAACCTCTCAGTCATTCAGCTGGGAGATTTGCCCCACTAGCTGTCTGTCAGCTCCCTTCCAACTGCTGTACGTCAGCAGCTTCCAGGCATGCTTCAGGCAACAGACCCTCTCAGATACTCAGTTCTGGAGCCTCTGTGGAGACCAGGCTTCTTGCCCCATCCCCCAAAAGACAGCCCTATAGGCAGGTGGGTGAGAATCTTTGGGGAGGAGGGGTGGCAGGAACAGCCAGACACACCTGCCTCATTCCTTTCCTCTTGTTCATCTGGGAGAGAGCTGTGGGGGCTGGGTTCCTCTGTCCCCTTCTTCCCTCCCATTTTGGGGAGGAGAAATAGGCTGGGGAAATTGGAGGTTTAGGGGAGGTAGTCCCACCCCCAGCAGCATCCACCACAGCATTAGCCTTGACCTCATCCTCTGCCTTCCAGAGCTTGGACAAAGAAGACAGGAAGTGAGCACCCTAGGGTCAAGTTGGGGGAATAAAGTGGGAGTGGCAAAACCCACCTCAGAGCATACTACCTCAGGAGGTGACAGAGTGGGACAGGGGACTGGACACTGAGCTGTAAGGGAGCTCCAGTGAGCAGAACCAGTGGTCTGATATATGCTAGCATGACCCATGAAGAGGAGGAAAAGTTGGGAAAGTTATGAAGGTATTTCCCTCTCCAAGTCACCCAGCCTCTATTCCTGGACCAGAAGCTGAGTCCTGGGACCAAGGCTGGGCCCCACAATAGGAGAGGGATGTGTGGGACTCTGTAAAGACCCTTAAAAGGATATTGAAGATAATGGGGAAAATGGAGTCTAAGAGGTGCTGGGCTTATGCAAACTGGCTGAAGGGTGCAGCAGGATTAATCTGCTGATTAGAAACAGGGGAAATGGACTGAAATTAAATGGAAGCATAGGGTGAAGGGGGAGCAGAAGAACTTGATGTCAGCTTGGGGAGGCACCAGGGGTAAGACTCGGAATGGGAACAGAAAGTGGCCAGAGATCGTTCCAAGGAGGAAAAGTACTCCCAGCCCCGTACACCTGATGGGCACCAGGTTACCCTTGGCAGGCAGAAGTGGGAGTAGGATCTAATAGGAACTAGATTGTCCCCAAATGAGGGAGGTAGGGAACTAACAACAAATGAAAATGGTGAACTGATCAAGGGGGCAATGCTGGCGTTAAGGGTCAAGGAGAAACGGCCAGCTGCAACGAGGTGAGAGCCCAGACATCCCACTTTTCAGTCACCCAAGGGGACCTGAAGGGGAAGGGCATTCCAAGGTAGTGAGCTGCCAAGAGTGCCGACTGAGAAGCAAGGTCAAGGCCATCATCCTTGAGCTCCCCCTCCTTTCTCCGAGTTAATGGCCCCCAGCTAGCCTCTGGCAGGGGGCCTTCCACTTTGGAGAGTGGCCAGGCCCCAGTCACAGCCCCCCTCCTCCGCTCCCCCTCCCCTTCTCTTGTGGTTGCCGGCAGCTGCCTGCGGTCGCCCCAGCCCCTGCGCTCAAGGCACGGGGACTTTCCAACAGGGGAAAAAATGACTTAATGAGAGTGGGAGCCGGGGGCGGGAGGGACAGGTCCCTGTAATCACCGCTCCACTGTGGGGCCTGTGCGCCTCCGGGTCCTTCCCCAGTTTCCTGCTGCAGCGCCCCCCTTGGGTTCTGCTGGGGGAGGGGACAGGCTGGCGACAGGGAGATCCCTTTTCGGGTTTCAGGCTTCTTGGGGCCCTTGGGCTGCCTTTTCTTCCCGAGGTCGTTATGTATGGAATCTGGGACACCTCAGGATCCCTCTCTGGACTTGGTCCAGAGTCCTTTGCTGGTGAATTAGAAGTGTAAGCGGTAACTATCAGAATCCTTTGCTACCACGCGACTGCGCACTTCGCAACGCCTCCGGTTGCTGAGGCAACCGGGGCAGCCGAGGTGTGTCCGCCAGCCTGGGAGGAACCCCCCCAAAAAAACTCTTTCTCGACGCCGGCGGGGCCAGGCCCCGCCGTTGTGGTACGCGGGGGTGGGGGTGTGCCGTTACCATGGCAAGGGTGAGCCAGGAGGGCACATTCTTCCCCAGGGTGGGAGCGCCCTGGGGACAAGAGAAGGGGGGTGACGGGGGCGGCAGAAAAGGGAGCAGAGGATGGTCAGAACAAGGGAGGAGTCTAGGACAAGACGAACCAGGGCTTCGGAGATTGGGGCGGGGAGTATCTGCCCCCCCCCGCGCCCCCAGTTGTTCTGAGGTGTCCCTCTCCTCCTCCTGCATCCTTGTTGGGGTTCAAAGCCTCCATTCCCCAGTTTCCAGGGAAAGGACTTCGAACTATATAGACCCCAAATTCTTTTGGCTTATTCCATGTTTGCACCTGTGGAACTAAGGCCTGTCCTGCTCCACTCTCAGGGGAGCTGCAGCTCAGACAGCGGGCCAAAGCCCTGCAATTAAGCCCCTCGCCCGCCCCTGCGCCACCCGGCGGTACTCCGCCTGGCTGGTCTGCACCGCCAATTACAGCATCTCGAAGCAGCTGATTACCTCGGAGACCCGGGAGAGGCTGGGGGATGGGGACAGTAGGCAGATCAAGAGGATAGGGTACCTAGAGTTGTCCTTGACCCCAGGGAGCTTCAGGCTGTAGCCCTCTAGCCCAGCTTCTCCACTCCGGACTCCAGGGAAGGTGGAGTCTACCCAGTGCAGTCCCGATGTGCCTCAGTTTCTCGATCCTCCAATGCACTTCGCGTCCAGAACAGATAGAGTCCAGGACAGATCTGGTGTGGTGTGGTGTGTGTGTGTGTGTGTGTGTGTGTGTGTGTGTGTGTGTGTGTGTTGGAACGTCTGGACTCCAATGCTGTGTACTCAAAAAGTTCAAGGCCCGCAAGGCCCAGTTTCTTTCTCACCGCAGGCTGCCGTGTGGGTCTCCCCTGGCTCCATGCCGTGACCCGTGGACCCAGCTAGGTCTTGCCAACCTCAGGGCAGCTGCCAGGACTTAACTGCAGTTTTGTGGGAATCAGAAAACGGCGCCCCCTTGGGGTAAGAGGTTCCTCTTTTCTGCTCGGCCAAAGAAAGCAATCAGGGGCTCTGCAGAACATCGACAGTGGAGTTGTGCCACAGCCCTGTCCCCCGCCGTTTCTTCTTCGGTCTCCCCGACGGGCCAGTCTGCTGGGGCTTGGGTAGATTCGCACTTCCCGCCTCCCGCACTCCAGCTTACTCACATCTGGCGGGCAGCTGCGACCCGCCCACCTCAGACTGCTGAGCACTCGGCGCCCTCTGTTGGTGCCTAGCGGCGGCGCAGCACCTCTGGAGTCTCCATTCGGTGTCCTTTACCCACGGAAACCCTCCATCCTCTTACTCGCGCCCTTCCTAAATCCGATTCTGCAGGCACTTTGCTTTCTGCCTTCCATGATTTTGCTGACCCTTTTTTCTCCATCTCCTTGTGTCTAAAACGCAGTCCAGCGACTTAGGTGTTTCTGAACCTCGCATTCGAGCTCGACTTCAGGTTCTTTGACCTATCACTCCAAGCCCCACGATCACTCCGAGCTCAATGTAAAAGTCCTAAAATAGGAGCATGGTTAGATAATTTGCTCAACGGAATTCCTTACCTCCTCCTTAAAAATGAAGTGCTTGAAGTGTATTTAGTAACTGAGACAGTATTTGTTCCACACTGGGGAAGAAGGACGCATAACACAAAACAGCATAAGACAGAGTTTCTCTCTTACAGGTATCACAGAACTGTTTTGAATGAAGGATTTATGAGTGGTTTGAAATTTGCTGTTTATCTACATTTTTTATTTGTGTAAAATGAGCCTATTTTACTTGGCCAGAGTAATAATTCCACATACAGAAT